TGCCATTAAGTGGGATTTAGTTTCGGCTCTACAGAAGTCCATGCCAAGATGTTAATCCTAATTAATGAATGGGTTTTTTAAACTTTGTCTGGAGGCTCGTAAATTAATTAGACCAACTCTTGGAAACTTCACAGGAGGTTTATCTGTGTCCTTGGGGTCACCTGAGTAATTCTCCTGGTTCCTGTAGTCAGAGCTGAAGAAGTTTCTTGAATGAGAAGCAAAACATCTTCAAATAAAAAACAAAAAAGTCCAGTTGCCTCCTGAAAAAGCACTTTTGCAACAACCATGACCTGGATAATTGAGAATCTTTACAGAATGTTAACTATACAATTTGCTATGAACACCCTTTGAATTGTGTGGGAGAAGAAATGGATTTCCAGAAAAAAACATTTCAGACTACAGGAACCAGGAGACCTGTTCAGGTAAACCTCCAAGTGCTTCAACAACCCTCTGAAAGGATGCAAATGACCAACTGTCTGCAAGGAATATAAATCCTTCCATTCCCCACTATCCAGAGGTGAAGAAGTTTCTTGGATAAGAAGCAAAACATCTTCAAAGAACAAAAAAAAAAAAAACCAAGAAAGTCCAGTTGCCTCCTGAAAAAGCACCTTTGTGACAAAAAGCAGAGCCTATTACTTTTATTTTAACATTCAACAGAGAACTACAAAAATCCTTCAAGAGCTGAACCTTCTGCCCAAGGGAGATAAGCAGTACTCTTTGGCCACAGGGCAAATCTTTCAGTTAATGAGCTAGTGCTTTGTACAAGGAAGAAGACCTGTTATAACATCTTGGGCTTGCAGGCAGCACTTGCTTTTAAAGGAAAAAAGAGCAATGGTGGGGTTTTAGGTCAATCTTCTCAAGATAGAGGAGCAGCACAGCTGGTTGACACAGCACTGAGTCTACTAGATCTGGGCTGTAATAACCTTGACAGCTGTTAAGTTCCAGCAAAGACATTTTGTTCCATCTCTGTAACTCCTAATCAACACCGAGTAAGGTTGTCTTACTAAGCTTGCCTGCAACTTGCTTTGGCCTGTAGCCCATCCCTTGAGGTATTCAGGGTACCTCAATTGCCTACATTCTTCTATGATCATAACCACCATTCGTGCCTTGATTGTATGTAATAGTTTGCCTCTTCCAAATGACATTACTGGCTTATTGCTATTCTGCAATAAAATAAAAGCATTGAAATCATGGTCCCAAGACAAAAAAAAGGCAACTATTATTTTTGCCTTAGATTAATTACAAATTATTATTTTAAAAGTCATTAAATTACAAATCATTTAATTCATCATTCAATTGATAGCAAAGACAGCTTTTACTCATATTTTTCTAGTGCGCCAATTACTCCTTTTTCTGGAATGGGAGGCATTATTCATAATAACTTATGCCTTGGTTCAAACAGAATACTGTAATGTGTTCTCTATAGGGCTACATTAAAGGACCAGTTGAAAGCTGCAGCAGGTCTACAATGCAGCGGCACAGGAAGAGCCGAGGTGGCGCAGTGGTTAGAGTGCAGTACTGCAGGCCACTTCTGCTGACTGCTAACTGCAGTTCGGCGGTTCAAATCTCACCGGCTCAAGGTTGACTCAGCTTTCCATCCTTCCAAGATGGGTAAAATGAGGACCCAGACTGTGGGGGGCAATATGCTGACTCTGTAAACCGCTTAGAGAGGGCTGAAAGCCCTATGAAGCGGTATATAAGTCAAACTTCTATTGCTATTGCTAATTAAGCCTGCTACTATAGACCACCAGTTTTAGCTGATGGCAGCACCGGATCTTGTAAGCTAACCATAATCAATCCTGATTACTGTTTGGATGGGAGACCACCAAAGCATACTTGGAACTTTAGATTGTGAAATTGAAAAAACATTGTGAAACAAGACTATGGCAAAACCCTCTCAATTGCTACTACGAATGTTAAGAGAATATGTCCATAAAATCATCAGGAGTCAAGTTGGGTTTGAAGGAGATTTTACTAATGTGGATTATAGGCTTCTTATCTTTAAGGTTTACATTTAAATTCAAATAAAGGGACACAGTGGCTCATTGGCTAAGATGCTAAACTCATCAATCAAAAGGTCAGCAGTTCGGCAGTTCGAATACCTAGTGCTGTGTAACAGGGTAAGCTCCCGTCACTTGTTCCAGCTTCTGCCAATCTAGCAGTTCAAAACCATGTAAAATGCAAGTAGAAAAATAGGAACCATCTTTGGTGGGAAGGTAACAGCGCTCCAAGCACTTTCAGCATTTAGTTATGCAGGCCACATGACCATGGAGATGTCTTCGCACAGCGCTGGCTCTTCGGCTTTGAAACGGAGATGAGCACCACCCCCTGGAGTCGGGAATGACTAAAGGGGGAACCTTTAAATTAAATTCTAATGTCTCAAATTAAAAATGTTGAATAGATTTGCTCAAATAAAAAGGATTCATAATTAACTTTCCCAACTCTTTATTTTTATTCTTCGAAGAAGTCTCACTACATTTATTGCCATTTGATGTATTCCTAAATGTATCATTGAGAAAGCGGATGAAAGGGAAGAATCCAGAAGGAATACTTAAGACTCAACTAGAATACAGGGAATGCTTGTCACAATTCTCCAAAACAAAACATCTGTATTGTTCAATCAAGGCCCTTCTATCTCCTATGTGGTTCTTATAAATCCCACATCAAGTCAGGTACAATTAAGGCAATGAGCTACCCTAGCAATAAACAAGATGTTCAGCATCTTACAATTTAGCTGTTTAGAGAAAGTACATTGAAATAACAATAATTATCATCACAAATACTCACCTGGAACTATTAGCTCAATTTCCTCTGACATAGAAGTTCCCAACTCATTGGATGCATAGCAGCGATATTTTCCTTGGAAAAAGGCTATGTTACCACGATTTTTAACTACAAATGTTCCTGAATTATTAAATGTAGTTATCCGTGAGTCACCCAGCAGACTAAATGGCTTCCCATCTTTTGTCCAGTTAAAGCTAAAATGACATTAAATAGGCATTAAATAATTTTGAAACAGTTATAATGTATCAATATTGTATACATTAAATACCAGAGATCTTAATCATTTTTGCCTTGACTTTTTTCATCTATGCATGAAAAAATTAGATTGACTACATAATAGATATATTTCATATAATGCTTTTTGATAAAATCAACTGAAACATAATGTTGCATTCTATACTGGGACACTCAAAACCTCAAATTAAAGGATAACTATCTCAGCAGTTCTTCAGTGTATGTGCTGAGAGGCACATTTTACATAAAATACAACATTTAGAAAAATTGCTAAGAATACAGAAGAATGTAGAAGATCAGATCTAATGCTTATCTAGAGACTATGTAGTGCAAACATTATAAATTAATAATTGTCTAGTAGCCTTCATAAACTTTCCCTCACTGTCCTTGAAGTACTATGTGAAATATAGAAGTGCTGTTGTTTACCTATGTACAAATCCAGGTGTCAGAATAGAGTTGAAAGGGACTTTGGAGATCTTCTAGTCCAACCCGTCCTCAAGAAGGAGGCCCTATATCATTTCAGAAAAGTGGCTGTCCACTCTCATCTTAAAAATCTCCAGTGATAAAACACCCACAACTTCTAAAACTAGCTGTTCCACTGGTTAAATTTTCTCACTGTTAGAAAGTGTCTTATCTTGTCTTATACTATGGAAAACAAGTTGGCCACCTTTGTAGCAGCCCCTCAAATACTGTAATACTGTTATCATGTCACGCCTATTCCTTCTTTTCTCTAGACTGGACATACCCAAATCCTGCAACTGTTCTTCATATGTTTTAGTATTCAAGCCTTTAATCATCTTAGTTGCTCTTCTCTGCACTTTTTCAATATTTTTTTTGTAATATGGTAACTGGATTTAGTATTCCAGCTGTAGTCTTATTAAAGCTTTGTAAAATAGCACTAATAAAAAGATACAACACTTAGTGATAGTCAAGGTTACTAGTAAGCTATCAAATCAAACTAGAAAACAATAAAACAATATAAATCAAAAGATACAAACAACATGGTTATAGTCATAATTGGGGAAAGATAGATACTAGGAAGAAAGAGAAAAATAATAGTCATACATTCTTGGTAAATTATTGACAGTGTTGTGACAATTACTTTTTAAGCAGAGTGATGGCATTCAGGGGAAAAACTGATAAACAAATAGTATCAACAATATTATTATTATTATTTTAAAAAAAAGATTTTAAAAGAGAAAAGGCATTTAAATTAGAAATCCAAGTTTCAGGACAAAATCATAACATGGATAAGAACTCATTACGGAATGTTTCAAAAGAAGTTGGCTGAAAATTTAAAAATGAAAATGAAAATAAACCAAGAGAATGACCTGGATATAGGTAATCAACTTACAACTGATTACTTAGTGAGTGTTTGAAGTTACAACTGATCTGAAAAAGGGGACTTACAACCCAGATTCAAAATTATGATACTAGACACTGGGAGACCATGAGTTCTATTTCTATTTTAGGCATGAAAACGTGCTGGGTGACTTTTGGCAGTCTGTGTGTGTGTGTGTGTGTGTGTGTGTGTGTGTGTGTGTGTGTGTGTGTGTGTGT